CAAGATTATTGCAAAATTTCATGTTTTCCGTCCCGTTTTGCATGTTTCTCGGAAACAAAATGAGCAAGAACGCTCGTTTTTACATCATTCCAGAGATAACTAAATGGCCTTTATTCGAAGTTTCTTAAGAACCATTCGAGACACAGAATTCGTTTTGCATCGTTGGATAGAGATTCAGTCGTAACAACGTGAGTGAGGAAATTCGAATAGTTTTGGCCCAGAATATCAGACACTTAGGTGCAAGATTATGCCAAAATTCCATGTTTTTCGTCCCGTTTTTGCTGATATCTCGGAGGCAAAATGAGCAAGAACGCTCATGTGTACCTCATTCAAGACATAAATAAATGACCTTTTTAGAAAGTGAACCATGGATGGGGAAATGTTGGCAGTTTTATCAAAAAGGGCTTGAATTCAAGAAGTTTTAGATTTGCGTGGTTGTTTTTTAGCTGCAAAATCAACTTGAACATGACGCTGCTTTTTTCGAAATTTCTCAAGAACCATTTGAGCCACAGAATTCGTTTTGGCATCGTTGGATAGAGAATTGAATGGGGGGGTCATAACCCCCTTAACCCGCCCCCTGGATCTACCCTTGGGTGTAGGTAAAGAATCGACTTGGTAATAATTGATTTGCAACCGTTTTTGGTATCATAACTATTTTTTAATTAATGTTTCATAATAAGTTTTGTGTGCTCTTTATCATTACAGCTTTAAGTGCTTATCACATTTTCTTAGTTAACGGTAAGTTTCTAATACACTTTTTAAAATAATAAACAATTAAATAAAAATATAATAATGTAACTTCCTAATAAATATCCGTTGAACTGAACTTGGCATTTTACATTACTCTCTGGATACTTTTTTACTTTTTCTTTCTTTAATCCTATATTTCTGTTCCCTTAAAACTTGCTTATAGTAAGCAAATCTTTTTCCATGCTTTTATTACTATGGCCAAACCTGCTATTTTCAATTCCTGCGCTCTTACGTTGAGAAATTCCGGCCATAGTCAGCTAAACAAGCAGCAATTAATAAATATTTAATAACAAAGTAGGAACCAAACTGACTCGTACAAGAAATATAATACAGAAAACTGGGAAGAGAAAACCAAAATAGTTTTCAATTTTAGCGCAGAATTTCAATTTAAGACCCTTACAATAAAAGCTCTAAAGTGGCAATCCCACTGGTTCAGCCCTGGGTTCTATGTTCTATGGTCGCTACCACAGATTACAGAAATTGCTCTGGTAGCTACTCAACTGGAAATGGAAATTGCATATGTGATAACTCGATAACAAATTACTACTTTATCGACAACTTGGCAACACAGCTTGCTTTTTTCTCGAAATGATGTGGTATCCTCAAGCTCTTGTATTTTAGACTGACGAACCAAATCAGTTTTAATGATGTATTTTAGTTTTACCAACGTGAAAACAATACTTTCTTATTTTTGCTCAATCACTTGCATTTTGATCAATAGGTACTGTTTGAATTTTCAAAATTAGAACCATCTAACCCAATCTAACATTTTATCGATTTATATAAGTATTTTATTTAGTAAGTATATCGACTATTTTCTCCATAAATGTACCTGTTAGCTTTAACACCGCTTTTTAACTTTTACAAAACGAGCGCTAGTCGTCTTGGCAGATCTTTTTTTCCTCTAATACACTATAGAAACGTTTTAACGACAATACCAAGACTGAGGTTACATGTTTACATGCTCCGCATTGCAGCTGCCACGCCCGACTAGCTACTTGACGTCACAACTGGTCCCAGCCAATGACAGCGCGTTACAAGAATGATTTGAATTATACAGTTTTTAATTGCTTATATTAATTACATAGAAAGAACAAATGAGTTTTTTGGTAAACTGTGGTGTTTTTAATAGTATTAAGTTACGTTTGCCAGTAATATTTTTCAAATTTCATTTTCTATTTGACACTCAAATACGAGAAGACCATTAAATTTTCTATGAAACTATTTATCTTTATCATGTCTCTATACCTAAGCGTCAAATTTCCGAAATATATGGACATTATTGTAAAAATTCGATTCATTATATCCCCCTCGATCAGCTTGTTGCGTACTCACAAACCCCGTACAAATGTGACGAACTTAGTGCGAAGTTTTTGGAAATAAAGCGGATTTTTTTCCGCTTTGGAAGAAATGTTTAAATAGTATTCGAAGATGGTATTTTTTTGTATAAGCGGCAGCGCTGCATTACTGAATATATTTTTGATCACTAGATCATTATTGCTCAAAGAAGTAGCCAAAGATTCAGACCAATTCAAAGTCGTGTTTTCCGTATACGTTTAACGTGCCATCAACCGCGAGGCGCCCTGTATAAGGTCAATGAGAACTAATGACTTTATTATAGTTGGCCTGGTTTAAATAACCAAAATTCTAATCTAAAAAGGCCGCTTAAGGTACTATTTATGTTTCGGTCAAAATAGCGATGGTGCAGACGATCGCCGCCCAAAATCCGCTTTGCGCAGTGTGGACAAAAGTTCACTTTGCGCACTCGGCAGGAAACTAACTATTTTCCAAGGAATTATGTTGGGAAATTTTAACCTAATTTCCACTCAATATTACCAAGGCCCGGGACAACGAAAGTTTCACCAAGCAGGCCAAACAAGCAGAAACAATCACCTCTAAATCTTCCAGTGGAGGTCAATGATCCCGATATCTAGACTGACTTGCTTGTCAGAAGTTCAAACTTTTGCCGCTCGCCTCAAAATAAATCAAAGTACACATTACCCAAATACTGCTGTTGATGGAGTTCCATTCGTAGTTCAGCTCAGCCCTAATCAGCTCCTTGTAGCAGCGTCTTCGATGCACTTTCACTGGAAACATTTGCAAAAAGTCAAGTGAAAACAAATGAACTAACAACAATTGTCTAAACGCGCCGGAAAATTTCGAAGCTAAGCCACTCTAGTGAATGAAGATGGCGCTAGTGAGTTTTCGTGCCAGTGGAGAAAATCGTGATTTATGGCAGTTTTTCTTTGGAATTTTCATCACGCTTTGGCTGATTTTCCCAGATGAGTATCTGACATCTTCCTTAGGAATATCAAGTGGAGCTGAGGAAATTTTTCGAAAGTGGGCGTGGTGAGGAAAAGGGGCGTGGCGCTAAAGTAAAATGAAAAAATTCAGGAGAACATTTGCATTTATCCCAGCAAATTGTAGGCACATGAGGAGGCAGGAAGGTATTCTTTATTTTTTTAACACGTCTAAGGGCGCAGCCGTGTGGGTGTTATTGATCGCCGCTCGGAAAAGCGGCAATTGTGGCGTATTTACCGACAAATCAAAACAGCATGATGTTGTTGGTTTACGGGATTCTGCTGCCGGCTGTCCTGCAGCTGCTGTTGCCCGTCCAGGGCAAAAACAAAGTGACCTACACGTTCCCCGAGTTTCCCTACAAGGAGACCAAGAAAAATGTGCGTCCACCCCAGTTATCTCCCTAGCAGGAGTGTTGACGGGGTTGTCTGTTGCAGGAGGCGATTTTCCGGGAAGTGGAAGTAGCCTGCGAGAAGGGCTGTTTGGGGAAAAACGGGCTATCGAAGATCACCTGCGTGAGACAGTGCGTGTCGCCCTCCTGCTACCGGGACCTTTACCAGCAGGACTTGGTAAGTTCGGCGCCCCCCACGCAGCTTCAATAATGGCCTGTAGTTTTTCTACTTTCAGCTGGAGGACGGAGAGGTGGACGTGAGACTGAACTCGTTTAAGGGTTGTTTTATTCAACGATACAACAAATCCCGCCCTTAAGCCTAACACCGATAAACACATAGATTAGTAACAGTTAACGCGCTCCTGTTGAGAAAGATGGCTTTTTGTACTCGTTATACATTGGAAATTACTCTAAACTATACATATCACAATAAAGTAATGCTCAGTTAAGATCTCCCACCTTTAATTACTCCCTTAAGTACTCTAGACAGCGCTCACATGCACCGAACTGTAGTTGGATTCATTGAGGGTGGCGTCGAAGACGCCATCGGGGGCGGAGTTGAGCTCGGTGCCCGCCTGATCGATCTGGACGGCGCCTTTGGTCTTGTCCTTGTGCTTCTTCGTAAGCCCCGGCAGCTTCGGCAGGTGCTTCAGCGCGCTCACCGTCTTGTTCTTCACCTTTTCGGTATCCTCCTGCTCCTCTGTGATGGAGTCCAAGGGGGCGTCAGTCGGCTGCTGGTCGTCCTGAATCGGGATGTCGTCTGCAACCAATCAGAGCTCGATTAAAACCCGCAGTTGCCTCAGGGCGGCGTTTGGAGCTCACCAGGCAGCTTCCTGGTGCGGAACGAAGCGTTGGTGATCATCGATTTGGAGATGCTGTGCGCGTGTGAAGGGCGCGAGGTGATGGAAATCGTCGGCGAGTGCTGCAGAAGGTTCTTGATGGCGCTGCCGGCCAGCAGGACGTCTGCAACCCAACCAGCGCTTATAAACCCGACTACTGCAGGGGGCGGCAACAGTACCTGGAAAGTTCTCGTAAGTTCCGCGCTGGATGATGTCGTGCAAGGCCTGGATGGCGCCGCTGGCGCTCCGTTCCGCTCCATGATAGACCACGTGCAGCAGCTCGATCAGCAGCGGCCCCGAGATCTGCACCCGCGGCATGAGGGAGAGCGGCTGCTGCAGGCTGCAGTCGCTGGCGATGGAGCTGCGTGAACTGCTGGAGGTGCGACTGAACCCCTGCGTCACCAGTCTACCACAAAACCGGGATTAGCTCGAGGTTTCAGGAGCAATGGGCGATTTGCAGAAATAGAAGATTGAAAGCCGATATAAATGGTCAAGTTGTATCAACCCCTACCTAGAAATGCCTCTGCAGGTAAGCTCAATCCCCTGCGTGCTCACATTGGCGAGCTGTTGATTGTAGAGGAACAACAGGGCGGTAACGACACGCTGTCGGGTTTGGGCGTTGAGGGTCTCGACTTGGGGCAGCGGCCCCCAACTAACCAACTTGGTGTTGCATTCCTCCCACCGCCTCAGCGAGCTCTCCACTATAAAGGCACGTTCCAGACTGCTGGAGTCATGGTAGATGGAAGACTGCGCTATGCTGGGGATGCGGAAGGAGAGCGTGCAGGGCTGCCCTTTGACGTCCACTACCTATGACTGAAACCGTGAATGGGGGCCCAGAGGGCTCACGCCAGTTGACACAGACCTCCAAGTTATACAGGCTGACCAGCAGCGCTTGCACTTGAGTGCAGGCCTTGTCCGTCAAGTGCAGGAACACCAGAATCGGGATGTACTGGACGGCGAATTTGCGCAGCTGGGGCTCGCCTGAGCGGTAGAAGTTGAACAGCTGCTGGCAGATGCCCTCGATCAGCTGCAAACCACTGACGGTGCAAATGCCAATTTGGGGCCTTCGCAGGCAGGACTTACGTTGTCCGACTTGTAGCGCTGCGGCTCGGCCAGGATACTGTACAGGGCGATGCTGATCTCGTCGTTATGCTCCTGTTCAGTAGCGTAAGTGTGGATTTCGCTTTCGGTTAGCGACTCGAACTCGTCGATCCACTCGAGCACCAGCGTGCAGGCCATTGTGGTCACCTAGAAGCGGAAGCGGCACACCCAGTCTTTGAAGCTTAACACATATTAGCAGCTAGTGGACTATTGACCGATTGCTAATCGCCCAAATTACCCAAATTAAAACCCGAACTAACTATTGTTTTGGTCAAGTGTCAACACAACCTTCAAGTTTGACGGCCACAGCACCCGCAACCGGAAAACAACTAGTCCCTTAGAATAGTTGGCACTACTGCAACCAGTTTGATGTCTGGTTAACCCCGTTAACCCCTAACCAAAGTTCCAGTGAAAACAAGTGTTTTTTTCGGTGAGGGGCCCCCTTTTTAAACCGATGTTTGGAAGACCAAACAAGGTAACCCCAAACAAAACCGTGCCTCTGAGCAGTTGAGTGGAAAAAGAGTGGCAGCCCGCAGAGTTGACTTACCAAAGGGGGGCTCAGGCACAGCTCCCCAAAGCACCTAGCTAACGTGCTTTCCTTCATGGCAGTCGCTGGCACAACCCCAGGCTGCTGATAGGAAATAGACCCTGATCAATAGAGGCCTGCTGTGGTTTCCCACATTTATTAAATCCGATCCAGGTGCGTTAACAAGGGTGTGGGCGTTTAAATTGGGGCTGATGTTCTGGTTTTTTCAGGCCAGCTGATAGTGTGGAGTTATTTGCAGGGGGCATGGAGTGACTGAGCCCCTTGATGCCAGCTTTAATCCTCCAAGGAGTTCCACCCAAAAACCTGCCCGAGGTATGCAAAGTTTTCTCCTTAACTCCCCCCTTAAATCTACTGGCCAAATTTGCCATCCTTAGTCAGTGGACGCTTGAATTAAATCGTCGCTTAAATCATATTAAATGGAATGGGAAAATTCTTCACTAATTGGCATAGACGGAATTTCTGGACAATGGCGAATGCGCTTAGCGCTGATTAAAATTCCTTGGCGATTAAGATGGTTAATGTAACTGCATTAAGAGCTCTGTTTGATTCAGTAATATTTGAAGGCAACGAGAAGCGATTTTCTGGGAATTCAAAGTGCGTCACATTCACGTAGCCGAATGGTGAAGCACACTTAACATTGAAAGTACAAAATCGTGCATAAAACTTTCCATAGAGAGTAATAATAATTGTTGCTGCCGCACAATAATGAGATAATGATTGAAATCCGCTCAACCAACACACAGTCAACATAATGCGCCGTGGATCGGATCACCCGAACTGGTACATTGGAACAGATTCCGGCTATTTTTAGCCGGAATCGTGTCGAAAGTGTGTTAAAATAAACCGGTGGATTCTATTTGGGGCCAAACCGAGAAAAAACGAAAAAAACGCAACAGTGTTTGAGCCCCAAACGAATCGCTGGCTTCGCCCTCCCGTCCCGCCGCCCATCTCACTCTCTCGCTCTCTATTTGTAAATCGTTACGGAAAAATGGATTTATTTATAATAAAGATTTTCTATTTTTATCGCAACCTTGGCGTTGTTACATTCCGCACTGTGTTGCCACGTGTGTCCGATAACAATCAGCCCGCTGGTCCGGCAGGGAAAACTGTTGCTCAGGTGGGGCGGGCACGTGCTTTGCCCCCTTTTCCAGCCCCCAAATGGCTCCCAGAAGTGGACCGCCTGAAATATTGCACATTTTTTGCGCTTTCCATCAAACAGCCACTCGAAACTGGAGCAAATTTCGCTAGTTTCCTTGCCAACTGCCAGCTTCAGCAGCGTCCGCGACGGGCTAATTTTCTGAAAAATTATCTTGCCTGGTTGCGTTGATTTGGACTCGAATTTTTGAGGGGCCGGAATCGGAAAACAGTAGATGATCGGAAGCTGATGATGGTTTATTGGGAACGAAACGTTGGTACGGACTAAAGTGTCTACTTTGGGTAAACATTCCGAAAGCTGTATGCGGTTTTTTTTAACATTCAAAGATCATTTTTGAACTGCTAACCGTGTGGGAATTTTTTCAAGATAATTGTTCGTTTTACATTTGGCTTAACAGTGCAAACTTGTGCCAACCTCAGGCACCCCCAGGGCCGGTTTCGAGCCTATTAGCTCTCATCAGGTGGGTTCAGTCTGAAATTAGCGATTCTGAAACCTGCACTTTATAATGCCAATGTATTTACATCGGCGCGGAAACTACATAGTTGCTGTAGTTCACTTATTATGTTTTCAAGCATCTTTCCTAAATAAGATAAATTTGAAGCCTTTAGTTTATCATCCGACTTATAAATTGGTAGAATTTCCACTATTTTTAATGCTTCTGGCCATTCTGGCAGAAGACGAGTGAAGGCATCTAGATGTGGTTTTCACTAAAATTCCGTCAAAAAATTCAAAAATGGGAATGATTTTACTCTTTTTGATTGATTGAATGATGTTTGCAGATGCTGTGCGCCTGCAGTGGAATTATCTGGCCGCATGAAAGTGCCGCCGCTGGTTGAGAAGCAGGCGCGTTGCGGTCCTGCTGAGCAGTCGAGGGGCGCAACAAAGACAGCATTGGGTGGTGCAGTCTGCGCAAGCAGGACGGTGGCATTCCTGCTGTTCGGTGATCGCCGCGAGCGAACGTTTCGCCTCTAAACGACGCAATTATCAATAGGAAGCGACTCGGCAACAGTGTGGTGGAGTCGAGGATCGCGGCTCGGCGTGTTCCGAACATTCAGCGTAACTGCGACCGAAATGACCTCACATAAAATTGACGAATTAAATCTGACAGTGGTTTTGCCGTCCGAGAACGGCGTTTCGTGGTGATTTTGTGCGCGAATGGTGGCTTGGCCCCGAAGAACTCATGTCATGGACAATAACTAAGGGGATGGCGGATGGAGAGGCGCCCGAACGCGAACTCGAGCAGCAAATCCTGCAGATCAAGAAGCAACACCAGCTGCAGCACCAGATCCTGCTGCAGCGCTTCCACCAGCAGCAGCAGCACCTTGCTGAGCAGCACGAGCAGCAGCTGCGCCAGCACCTGAAGGAGTTCTGGGACCGGCAGAAGCAGCTGCAGGAGCTGCGCCAGCGAGAGCAACTGGAGGCCCTCAGAAAGAAGGAGAAGCATGAGGAGAGTGCGGTTGCCTCCACGGAGGTGAAGCAGAAGCTGCAGGACTTTCTGAGGCAGCGCCGCTCAGGCAACTCCAAAATCGCCCGTCCGGAGAACTCCTGCTGGTAAGTGCAAAAGTCCAAATCCGCGCTGTTTGTAAACAGTCAATTAGACACAACAACTGCTAATCGCTGCTCGTTGTGGAATCGCACCTTATTTACGCACGTCCATCCATTCATGGCATTCACTAGCCAGTCGATAGCGACTTTCCTGCCAGTGTTTGTTTATATTAAGGCATTGATGAGCCTTTATCTGAATGTGCACAACAAGTAGGTACGGGGACGGGCGCCGGCCTGACGACGGCTGCCCCAAGGGCCGAAACTTTCATTCGTCCTCTACGTAATCTAGGAACGCTCCCAATGAACTTTGTAATATTAGTTCATAGTTATAGTTGCGTTATCATTAGCCAGCTGTGATGACCTTCCTCAAAGTTGCAATTGTTTGCATTTAATTAACAATCAACTGGTTAAAGTCGAAGCTGACACTCGCGCTCATTGGCTGCACGCCCCCCAAGTCCTGCCACACTGACAGAACCACGTTGTCCCACTTGCAGCTCACATTGTGGGCGTGGTCATGTGGTTCCCGCCAAAAATTCGCCAATTTTCGACCATAACTTTTGCATAGGAAAGTGCGGCCTATCAAACAAACAAGCCAATCGCTTATCTTCCGGCTGGTTAAAAATAGACGTGGGACAATTAAATAAGCAATAAAATTAAAAATACACAGCGTACATGTGTAACCTTCGCCTCTACTGGGATAACCACCAATGCATTGCTGGTTGTGTGTGCCGTTTGTCATTAATTTCCTCCTCTTATAGTGACAGATTCAACGCAAATGTCACCACTACTTTGACAGTTGACGTTTTAAGTAAAATAGGCGCTTTAACGCCGATTGGCGCCAATTAAACGTCAACTGTCTTCTCAATCAAGTGACATTTGGTAAAAACACACCAGTAAAGCTGTGTGACTTAAAAACCCTATTAAACCCCGGTTACTTTATTGTCACTCTCTTCTGTCACATGGCACCTGTCTATGTGGCGTTTTGCCTTGGAAACGCGCACTTTAGGGCTGCCCGAGTGCCCTAAAGCAGCTGAAAATAGATTCGCCCTCTATTAATAGATTGATGGTTGAGAACAATCGGATGTGCGCAATTTTCCTGTTCGATCCGCTTGCACTGTTTGGCAACAACCCCTACACCCCACGTGGGGGTGGCGGCTATTTTTAGCATTCCCAGTGACGTGTATACAAATCGCTTTATCTCAACTCGCATCAATTATTCAATAAACCCCAAAATTGGAAGATTTTCATTGCTTTCCATCGCATTTTCTGCCAACGGTCCACCCGTCACCTGTCAGATGTTGACAGCTCGTGACGTGGCGGGCAAACAATCGCCGCTAAAGGGCGTGGCCGCGGTCAATTAGCGATTAAACAACTCGGGCTGGTTGATGATAAAGTCATTGCAAGAGACGATGTGGAGTGTGGCGAACAGTAGTTAAAAATACGCCCAACATGTGTTATAAAAATTCACATTGAGTCACGGAACGGGCGCGTTTAAACGGACATTTCTATTAATGAAATCCACTATTTTTAGTTCGGGTTGCGTCTATTTTCGAATCCTATCTGTCCACAACAGCATAATGCTGATGGATCTCATAACACGGCAAGGGAACAAAGGGAATTCGCTTTATTTTCGTCACACGATCATTTCAATTATAGATTCTCGTAAAACACTGTTGGCGCAATCCAACCGGGAGCTGTCAATTTGACATTGACAATGACACTGTGGCCTCCATGTTGGTTCGAAGCCGGTTTTACACTGGAGCTTGCGCCTAATGTGGCCCCTAAGGGGCTTTGAAGTGATTCGATTTTCTATAGAGAACGGTGAAGGTCAAGCAGTTTTTTTTCTGTTACAGGTCGGAGGGGATGGATACAGCGTCGGATTCTTCGCCAACGAATAACGATTTTCCATTGCGGAAAACAGGTAAATTTGCCTTTGTTGTACATTTACCTTTAATGTGTCGTTTGAGCCACGTGCCTAAGGCAAAAAACGATTTTTAATTGGATTCGAGGAAAGGATCGCGTTGCTGTGACCTTTCACGCGAAATATGCTTTAATATAGAAAAAATCGTGGAGCGACATCTAGTGGGCGGCGCTCGGCTGCTCTACAGGTGAAGCCCAACACTCCCCCTCATCAATATAAATGTATAGAATCTAATGGAATCGGCGGCCTTGGGCCAATCAATAGCCGGCCAGGCTCAAGGACTGGAATTTATTGTTTTTTTATTCTGGGTGTTTTTAGCCTCCGAGCCTAATTTGCTCAAAGTGCGGCTCAAGCAGCGCGTTATGGAGCGGCGCAGCGGCCCGCTGAGCAAACGACTGCCGCCCTCGCTCAAGAAAAAGCTGCTCAGCTCGTGCTTGCCGCCCAGCGACTCGCCCCCTCAAGAGCCCCCCAAGGTAAAACCGGCTTGTGCTCCTGATTGGTGGTTTTATCTGCGAACTTCTTGCAGGAGTTGAGTCCACCCTGCGAAGCCGAGGAATATCAGCGGCTGCCACTCTTCAGCAGCCCCTCAATGCCCAACATTTCGCTGGCAGCCCATCATGTTTTTAGCCCGGATCTGTCGGAGGCGGCCGTGCGGGCGGCCTGTACGGCCCGCCTGGGGATGCCGCTCACCGGGCAGATGCTGCCCGGCACCCTGCCCTTCTACCCCTCGCTGCCTGCCATTGACAGCGAGCACGAAGAAACGCCGCTCGATACCATCAGCGAACTGCAGGTGAGACACGGGGAGCGAGGCAGGAGGCAGTTTCAAGATAAGGCCTGGTTTAGGAGCCTCAAATCCGGGGCGTGATCCGGCCGTTGGGCAGGACGCAGTCGTCGCCGCTCCCTCTGGGCCATCCGCTGCTGCGAGGGCCGCTGCCGCCCGAGCCGGAGCCGCCCCAGCCGCCGCCCGAGGAGCAGGAGCAGCGGGATCTCGAGCTCAGGCCCAACGAGTCCAGAAGGTGGGTAAACAAGACGCTTCAACCAAGTAATGATTATATGCGAAACGGCCGCCCACGCGCGCTGATGTTGGCGGCGTCTATTTCCGTCCCGGTAGGTGGTCGCCATATACTTTATTGATTCGTCTATTCTTAGACATCAGTGCCTTCAAGGCCGCCCCTCGTTCCCGTTGGGAGGATGAGGGCGCATTGGCGGGGGCGGCCAGGACGCCAATCGGGCCTTTCTAAGTGGGAGCGATCGGTTTATGTAAAAGGCCTTTTATCAGACTATGAAGGCCTTCACGGCCGGTTAAATCACATCTAGGAATGTTTTCCGGGCTTTGAAGCCGTGGTCTATGGGAATTTCCTCATGACGTTTCGTCCACAACTGCGGTGGACATTATCAAAGGCGATGAGGCAGTGGGCGAAGTGATCTCCCGTGCTTTCCGACTAAGATTGGTTCAACTGTTGGATTGGTGGGGGTTCAAATGCCTCGGCGCACACGCTGTTCGGTGTAAAACGCGCTTCCAATCTGGATTGAGTGCCGTAATTTCTTCTTTTCTGTTAAAGTTGTTTTGGTGTTTAAATATTTCGATGGCCTCTCTGGTGAG